CATCCATCCATCCATCCATCCATCCATCTTCCTAACTGCCCATCTCCCTCAGAGGGAAGATCTGGGTGGTGTACAATATAATTGATAAAATGAACATTAAACTAAGAATTAATTTAAGATTAAAAAGTTTTCATTATTAAATCCAGAAAGCTGTTTAAGAAGTTATTAAATGCCTCACTCTCTGCATTCAGGTTCATAAAAGAAGCTATTATGTGACAGTTCTCAAAGAAGGCTACTTTAGGCCAACCAGTTCTGCCATTCCTGGATGAAAATGATGATCTTTTATTTATTTCAGTCCTGCTATAGGGTTGCTTTGGGGATGAAAAATATTTTGTCACTCAAACGACCTTTGGTGAGAGGAACTGCAACAATGAGATCTTCCTAATTCTCCTGGACCTTTCGGTGACTGTTGATGCTGCAAACCACTATATCTTATGATAGTTCTTTGTTAAAATGTCCATTTCCTGAAGACATACTTCAGAATAATTTCTCAACTTCCTGGCTTTTTTGGGTGCTGTTCCTTCCCTTGGAATGGGGCGGGAATGGGGATTTTGCAGTATGCTTCCCCTAGAGTGGGGAGGAAATGGGGATTTTGCAGTATCCTTCGCCCAGGAGTGGGGAGGGAATGCGGATTTTGCAGTAACCTTCTCCTGGAGTGGGGAGGGAATGGGGATTTTGCAGTATCCTTCGCCCAGGAGTGGGGAGGAAATGAGGTTTTGTAATAACCTTCCCCAGGAGTGGGGAGGGAATGGGGATATTGCAGTATCCTCCCCCCCCCCGAGTGGGGAGGGAATGGGGATTTTGCAGTATCTTTCCCCCAGGAGTGGGGAGGGAATGGGAATTTTGAAGTAACCTTCCCCAGGAGTGGGGTGGGAATGGGAATTTTGCAGTAACCTTCTCCAGGACTGGGAAAGGAATGGAATTTTGCAGTAACCTTCTCCAGGAGTGGGGAGGGAATGGGGATTTTGCAGTAACTTTCTCTCTGGAGTTGGGAGGAAATGGGGATTTTGCAGGATCCTTCGCCCAGGAATGGAGAGGGAATGGGGATTTTGCAGTGACCTTCCCCTGAAGTGGGGAGGGAATGGGGATTTTACAGTAACCTTCCCCCAAGAGTGGGGTGGGAATGGGGATTTTGCAGTAGCTTTCCCCTGCCACGCCCACAGAACCGGTAGTAAAAAAATTTGAATCCCACCACTGGTGCTGTAGGTCTTTCTCCCAAACTGCTGACTATCTACACAGAATTGTTGGGAGAAGATCTACCACATAAAAAAACATGTAGGGGGAGGTAGGTAAGACTCCCCTTGAGTTTTTCAAATAAACTGCTCCATTTCTGGAAGAATTTCCGGGGGGGGGGGGGCGGCACCTTGATTGCCATCATTTTTATGATTCCTGGGGCGATGACAGAAGATATTTTTATTCTGCAACACATATTCATTGGTCTCTCTCTCTCTTTTTAAAAAACATGATTGGATTGTGGTATGGCCTTATAATTTTTGGTATTTTATCTCACCCTTCACCCACCTAAGATTGTAGGGATGTATTAGGAAATTCTAGGGAGCACATGGTCTTGGAGAGTGAAGCCCATCAGTCAGACACAGAGTTGGGAAGGGCTGTTTGACGTGGTATTAAATTCTCAATTTATTTGTGGGCTGCTTTGGGCCTGGCTATTGAAATAACAATAGTAAATAAAGAATAAACAAATATTTCTCCTACTATCCTTTCAAACCTGAAAGCTGCATTGGAGTTAGGGAGTACCAGAGCCAATAATAGCCAAGAATAAGGATTATGGACACCAATTGCCATAACAGCTTCAATTTTTTACCTCTCCCCATTGAATTCATAATCCAATGGGCTTTCCAGAGTGATCCTATTATTTGAATGGGGGAACCGGCTCTCTTGTAACATCTGCCCTCTGATAGGCATCAATCTCTTTTGATAGACTCAGGGTCTCTTTGGTTCCAGGTGAAATCCAGCATAGTTTTTTTTTTTTTTTTGGAATAATGTTAAAAGGAAGCGCAATTCAAGAAGGAAGGAATACCTCCCCAATATGCAAGCTTTCATTTAAGATGCACTACATCTGACCCATTATTTATCCTCTGCCCACTCTAATTCACAAATGCTTCTTTATACCTCTGACAATGTTCTGACAATGAAATACATAAAATATAAAGTTACACAGATACTGCCAAAGACACAATATGCAGAAAACTCCCTCCACTTCTGATTTAAACAACGCTCATTCTATCCACAAACAGACAAGGATTTTCCCTTTCTAGAATGAATTTGTGTGTGTGTATGCTATATATACATATATGCATACACGCATTATATATATACACACACATATACATCAGCATAATTTTTATAAATATATACAAATAAATATAATATGCTGGTGTTCTCAGAAATGATTGCAGCATAATTTAGTTGAATATATACAGGATATGTAATAAAATGCATAAACTGTGGTTCTATTATATTGAATTAATTTTATTGCCCTTCAAGATATTTAAGCCTGCTACCTCCATATACTTCTATTTATTCCTCTGAGCCTTTTGAAGTGAGATATTTGAGTTAGAAAAATTGTTTGAATTCAACAATAGAATCTCTTCTGATTCAGACTTTCACGAATGGTTTATAATTGATTCAAGTATATTATTGCCTGGACTCTACATAATAGACTTTGTCACTATGGGTGATCAAATGGTTATCATAAACATGGAACACAGCATTTATTAAATTTCAGCTTTTCAGGTTTCTAGCCCTTGTTAGCACAATAGATTTGAACATGTCTGAACATATTCAAATCTGTCATGCTAATAAGAGCTAGAAACTGCAGGAGGTTGGACTAGAAGATCTCCAAGGCCCCTTCCAACTCTGTTATTCTGTTATCTCTACCGAATGAGAAAGCGGAAGGGAGCAGAGGTGGTTTGCGAATGGTGAAGATGTCTTGACTCATGTCAGCTAAAGCAGAATAAATTACTCAGAAATAAACATTTATCAGAAAAAGCATTTAAATAATTCGCTGAAGTATTGTTTATCCTAAGAAGGCCAGATTTTTTTAAAAAAAAAATTAAACATGCACACTTCCTTTCAAATACAGGAATGTACTTTCTTTTGAAACGAAGGACAGAAATTGCTACGGAATCAAATATTTGGCTTACCAATACGTAACTTGGTCTTTGATGCGTTTGCCCGTTGTGAAAAGTGCTCAGCCTACATTTAGATGGCTATCAAATTACAGTGAAATGTCAAAAACTTGGGGATACTTGATATTTCTCAGTGCGCCTTAAGAAGATTTTAAGACAGGACCCTGTTTTGCATCTCTCTCTTCCCTAAAAATCAAGAATGTGGAAATTTTATTGGATGAAGGTTGTAATTCCCTTGGGGATAATCTAATTAAGGTATGGTGATGATGACGGGCTGGGTAGTGTGTGAGAGATGGATGGAATCAATATTTCTCTCTCTCTCTCTCTCCCTCTCTCTCTCTCTCTCTCTTTTTTTCTTGCTTTCATCTTGGTTACTAAAGGGAAGGTAGCAGTCCTGAATTGATTACCTCCAGAAGGCTTCTCAAGCTACATCGAACCCCTGCTGGTTGCATTTCTCTGCTGTAAATGATCAGATGGGTGTTGTTCTCCTATAGAGCATCAACACTCACCAGAAAAATGTCAGGATCATTTCTCTCTCATCTTACCACAGCCTTAAAGCAGTAAATGTCAATATTCACTGGGTTTTAAATGTTTATTGTAGCAAATATTCTTTGTGGGGGTATTTCCGGAAGAAAAGTTGGGGCTTTGATAGGCCTTATCCCTACTTAATCATTAAATTCCCTAGATGACTTCTCTCAACCTAATTTACAGAAAGGATGTTGCAAGGATGAAAGCAAAGGACCGGAAGAAAATGTATACATGGAGAAAACATTGCACTTGTTAGCTTGAGTTCCTGGAGGAAAGACAACCCATGACTTTAATCTCTCTCTCTCCCTCCCTCTCTCTGTCTCTCTCTCTCTCTCTCTCTCTCTGTGTGTGTGTGTGTGTATACAATATATATGCAGGAACCTTACCCTAGATATGGACTACGGCATTTCTTTTCTAATAGACTAAATGTGAATAGGTAGCTAACGCTGGAATCGAAATTCAAGAAATTGGGAATAAGGCTGAATGAACGACTCGGTGAGACTTGAATAAAACCGAGTTGTTAATCATTCATATTGAGAACCTTCACATAGTCAACCCAGAAGGTTCTCCCCAGTCTCTTCAAACTTCAGATCTGCACTATATCACCCCTTGAGAGCCACCTATATATTTTTTTAAATCTAGAGTCAGGACCCAGCTGTACTATCCAAGATGTGCTTAGAAAACAAGTGGTTCTTTGCTCTCCTTAGTTACAAATCTACAGGGGAGTTGTCCAATGGAGATACCTAAAGATTAGCTCAGGATATTGCATGCTTCTCAGGTGTGATCAAGAAGCAATACTCGGGGCCAGGGTGGTCAGATGAAGATGTGCAGCCAGCAGACAGAGCTATATTGAAACGTTGAGGTCAACAGGGCAGGGGAACAAATTCAGAAAAAACAAATACTTTTAAGGACCTACTTCTTATTTCCATCCCTATCAAAAAAAGCTGAATTATGGGACTTGGGGATACACACAATGGGGGAAAGCAAAACTTGTCTTCTTTGGAAGTCTGGGTTGAAGAGAAAGAGGGAAACAACCCGCAGGGGAATGCAAGGAAGGCGGATAATAATTACTGCCCACCCTCTCAACCCAGAACGGTAGGGCTAAACAGTGGGAGAAAGGACCCCATGGAATTTCTTGTGGACCTTTAAAAAAATTCTGCTGAAGTTCTATGAAAAAGGGCTTGTCCCACGACATCTGAGCTCAACCTTGATCTTGATCAACCAGTTCTGTTTTCCCACCCCCACCCCCACCCCACCTACCACACCCAATTCTACCTCGCCTTTTAAAACAAGAGGGCCCTTATGAGACGGTGTTATGCTCACCTCTGCTGAGTCCGTCTGGTCCCCGAAGGATTCGGCATTCTTCTATCTGGCCAAATGGAGAAAACATCACTCTGATATCGTTCTCATTACACTTCTTCGAAACCATTCCTATGAACAATTTTCTGTCTTCCACAGCTAGAAGATTAAAATAATAATACTAATAATATCCACAACGGCAAAAGGCATCTCTCTCTTATCTCTCTCTCTCTCTCTCTCTCGCTCTCACTCTCTCTCACTCTCTCTTTCACACTTTCCTCATCTGTGATCAATGCTTATTACCACATCAAAAAGCAAGCGACAGAGTTGTGAGCGTAGCGCTGTCCCCGGGTGAGAAGGCAGGCAGAAAACACTTCACGCACACAACAACACTTCTCTGAATCACCTGCCTTTCTCCCGAGAGCGTTCCGTAGCTTGCAACTAGGACTTCTTTGGCTATTTGGGCATTTTACAGACTAGGAGAGGCAGTTAGCTTTTTTACCTGTCATTTCACAGTTGAAATAGAAACATCCATCTAATAAGTAAAGGCTAAATGTTGGTGAGTAGGATCAGAGAGCGAGCCTATTCTAACCTAGCCACCACAAAAGCCATGGTGGCGCAGTGGTTAGAATGTAGTACTGCAGGCTACTTCTGCTGACTGCCGGCTACCTGCAATTTGGCAGTTCGAATCTCACCAGGCTCAAGGTTAGACTCAGCCTTCCATCCTTCCGAGGTGGGTAAAATGAGGACCCAGATTGTTGGGGGTAAGAGGCTGACTCTGTAAACCGCTTAGAGAGGGCTGTAAAAGTACTGTAAAGCGGTATATAAGTCTAAGTGCGATTGCAAACCTAGTTTGGCAATGAAAGTTCTGCAAGAAAACAATCAAGCTCAGAGAGTACCAAGGACTGAGTTTTTTAGATTTGGCAAGAAAAACCTACATTTTATGTAAAGCTTTTTTAGATTTGGCAAACAACTACAAACAACTGGCAATAGAAAGAACTGCAACAAAAAATATGCAGGAGCTAAGCAATGGGGGTGGCCAAGAACTAGTTGGATGTGTAGAGGCAAACAACTGGATTTAGACTCTGTAAACCGCTTAGAGAGGGGCTGTAAAAGCACTGTGAAGCGGCATATAAGTCTAAGGGCTATTGCTATCTCCCCCCCATCTTGCCTACGTAGGTATGAAAGAGAAATTGGGAACAAAAAGTGGTCTGAATATTCAAAATGAAACGGGTTAATAGAATCTCAAGGCAGCCTTTTTTAAAAAAAAAAAAAACCTGTAACGATCCAGCTATTCTTATCTCATGCAGACATTGTTCGCAAGCACACTCATTAGACCAGAGAAACACTTCCAGGAAGTGTTATAAAATTATTTCAGGGTAAATGAAATCCCAGCAGATTCGCGATGCCGGACTGGCAAAAAAGAAAAGTGGGATTAGGTGGGGTTAAATTACTGCTTGATTATTTCACTTGATATAAAGGAGCGAAAAGGAAAAAAAGAAATAGGAAAAAAAAAAAAAACTAGGTCAAGGCCTATGCGTCCAGGCAAGTTTCAGCAAATGCACATTCAGAAACTTTAAATTTACAGAGCTTGGAAATAAACAAGGACTGAATTAATTGAATATCTGTTACTGGTGCAGAATGTGTCTGGCGACACCTCACTGACATGGGGCTCGGAAACTAAGTGGAACTTTGAAAGGAGATTCCTCAGGTGGTGTTTTTAAACCTTGGCAACTTTTAAGACGCTTGGACTTCAACTCCCAGAATCCCCCAGCTTCTTGTCATGGTTGGCTTTCATGTTTCTTAGATTTTTAAAATTTATTTATTTATTTATTTGTCAAGCATGTATAAGATAACAGAAGTAAGTATAAACATGATTATGAATACAGGAAATGGATACGAATAAATGGGGACAGTAGGACAGGGACGTTGGTGGGTTTATGCACGCCCCTTACAGACCTCTTAGGAATGGGGTGATGTCAACAGTGGACAGTCTAAGGTTAAAGTTTTGGGGGGTTTGGGGATGAAACCACAGAGTCAGGTAGTGCATTCCAGGCATTGACCACTCTATTGCTGAAGTTGTATTTTCTGCAATCGAGTTTGGAGCGGTTTACCTTAAGTTTGTATCTATTGTGTGCTCATGTATTGTTGTGGTTGAAGCTGAAGTAGTCATTGACAGGTAGGACATTGTAGCAGATAATTTTGTGTACTATGCTTAGGTCAGACTGAAGGTGGCATAGTTCTAGGTTGTCCAAGCCCAAAATTTCAAGCCTGGTGGCATAAGGGATTCTGCTGCGAGCAGAGGAGTAGAGGACTCTTCTCGTGAAATACCTCTGGACTCGCTCAATTGTATTAATGTCCAATATACAGTGCAGGTTCCAGACAGATGAACTGTATTCAAGAATTGGTCTAGCAAAGGTTTTGTTAGAAAGGGGAGGACATACCTCACCTCTTCACTCCTGCCTTGTCCGTGGATAGCATCGCAAACAAACAAACAAAAATCAACTGGGTTATCTTGGGATCTGTCATTTAAAACCAGGGCCTTTTGAAAGAACTATCAGTTGTTTTCCTTAATCAGAACAAGGTACACTAAATGGTCAGCCATGCTGTGAGATCCTCAGTGCCATCCGATCCAAAAGGATTACAGGATCATCGATGTATGATTGAGAGCATTAGGGAGTTTTGCTCACCGGTGTACAGGTGGTCCTCGACTTACGACCACAATCAAACCCTAAATTTCTGTCGCTAAGTGAAACATTTGTTAAGTGAGTTTTGCACCCTTTTATGATCTTTCTTGCCACGATTGTTAAGTGAATCACGGCGGTTGTTCAGTAACACGATTGGTTAAGTGAATCTGGCTTCTTCCCCCTTTTGACTTTGCTTGTCAGAAGGTCGCAAAAGGGGATCGCGTGACCCCAGGACACCGCAATCGTCATAAATATGAGCCAGTCACTAAGAGTCTGGATATTGATTGCGTGTCCGTGGGGATGCTACAATGGTCGCTTGGAAAAACGACCACAAGTGCCTTTTTTCAATGCGGTTTATAACTTCGAATGGTCACTAAACGAATGGTTTTAAGTCGAGGACTACCTGCGTAGTGACTGGTTGTCTTTGTTCCTCGGGATCGTGAGTTTCTTGGATTGAGAGTTTCAGTTAAGACCTGCTGTCCCCAAAGTCTGTTTGCCTGTTCTCGGCCGCATATTGCTAGGAAAGCATACCGACTGTTTTCCGTGCTTCGCTCTCGTTTTGAGAAGGCCAATATGAGACTCAAGAGACAGGGCCAACGGCATGAATGAGCTGCTAATATGCTGGAGACCATGTTCCACAATTTTCTACAAGAAAATGTGAGCAACCTCTGCCCTCCAGATGTCAAACCTGAGCTGCTGCCCATGATGCTGGCATCTTAACAACCTTTGGAGGGAGGAAAAGGCTAACCGGGATTAGAAAATGCGTCGCAGGCCATGTGCTATGGCTCTTCAAATAAATAAGTTAAAAAGGAAGGTCAGGAGCTTGACCGCAAGGGATAGATGTCAGATTAAAAAAAAACAAAACCCAACATAAACAAAAGTCTAGTTGCTGGACCTTCCCATGATAGATGGCTTCAAAAATTGTGGAAGAGTGACAACCGGTTGTGTTTGGAGCAACTGTTACCATGGATTATATGACGACTCTTTGGCTCCTGTCATGGTTCCAGAAAAGATAGGGAAATATTGTTTGCTGTTAATGAGCACGCAGAAATTGTAGAGAAACACAGAGCAATTGTTGCTCCACAGACTTTAGAATGGAATAGAATGACGGTGTAGGAAGGGACCTTGGAGGTCTTCTAGTCCAAGCCCCTACTCAAACCCTATACCCATGATGGCGAACCTATGGCATGTGTGCCACAGGTGGCACGTGGAGCCATATCGGTGGGCATGCGAGCGTTGCCCTAGTTCAGCTCTCGTGTGCATGTGTGCACCAGCCAGCTGATTTTCGGGTCTTCTGGGCCCACTCGAAGTTGAGAAACAGGCTGTTTCCGGCCTCCAGAGGGCCTCCCGGTGTGGAGAAGGCCGTTTTCGCTCTCCCCAGGCTCCTAGAAAGGCTCTGGAGCCTGGGAAGAGCAAAAAACGGGCCTTCCAGTCCCACCGGAAGTTAGCAAGTGGGCCGTTTCCGGCCTCCAGAGGGCCTCTGGGGGGCAGGGAAGGCCGTTTTTGCCCTCTCCAGGCTCCTAGAAAGGCTCTGGAGCCTGGGGAGGGTGAAAACGGGCCTACTGGACCCACCGTGCCATCACGTGCCAAAAGTGGGAGGAGTGCAGTGGGGGTCATATGCGCATGCATGGGGGACGCATTGAATTATGGGTGTGGGCATGTGTGCGCGTGATCCCCCCCTGCGCTCCCCCCGCTTTTGGCACGCGACTGCAAAAAGGTTCGCCATCACTGCCCTATACCATTTCAGACAAATGGTTGTCCGATCTCTTCTTAAAAAACTTCCAGTGTTGTTGGAGCATTCACAACTTTTGGAGGCAAATTGTGTCCCACTAATTAGTTGTTCCAACTGTCCGGAAAATTTCTCCCTTAGTTCTCGGTTGCTTCTCTCCTTGATTAGTTACAGCCTTCTATTTCTGTGAATGTGCAAGCTGTTTTAGGAATGAAGGAGCTCTTTCCATTACAATTTATAGGAAAGGAAAAGGGGCTGAAAATAAATATTCTTCAGAACCCCTTCCCATTAATTTACCTACCCCAGAAAATAAGTATACACGTTTTCGCAAGAATATATACTGCGGCAGGGGACACGTATCCTCAATTTACGATTAGAGCCTAAAATTTATGTTGCTAAGTGAGTTTTGCCCCGTTTTACGACTTTCCTTTCCACTCTTGTTAAGTGAATCATTGCAGCTGTCAAATTAATAGCACGGGTTGTTTAAGTGAATCTGGTTTCCCCATAGACGTTGCCCATCAGAAGGTCGCAAAAGGGGATCACATGACCCTGGGACACTGCAACCGTCATAAATGTGAGTCAGTTGTCAAGCATCCGAATGTAAATCATGTGACCATATGGGATGCTGCAATGGTCGTAAGTCACTTTTTTCCAGCGCTGTTGTGACTTCAAATAGTCACTAAATGAGCTGCCAAGGACTACCTGTATTCCCTCTCTATTATTCACTCCCCATTATTATTCAC